TTTCGTTTTTTTTTTCCTTTTAGGAAGACATTTTTCTTCTCATCCAAAAAGCTTCTTCATTTCTGATTGGATGCGGTGGGATGGGGGGGGGGGGAAGAAATGGAAGGATTTATACAGGAACTCGACTTACAACAGTTATTTAGTCACCATTCAAAGTTAAGAGGGCACTGAAAAAAGTGCCTTATGACTATTTTTCACACTTACCACCTTTGCAGCCTCTCCACAGTCACTTGATTTACATACAAATACTTGATAACCGGTTCATATTTATGACGGTTGCAGTGTCCCCGGGTCACGTGATCCCCTTTTGCGACCTTCTGACAAGCAAAGTCAATGGGGAAACCAAATCCCCTTAACAACCTTGTTACTAGTTTAACAACTGCAGTGATTGAGTCACCGGCAAGAAAAATCATAAAACGGGGCACAACTGACTTAAGCAAATTACTCACTTAGCAGCATAAATTCTGGGCTCAGTTGGGGCCGAAAGTCGAGGGCTACCTGTACTCCTTCACAGGGACCTGATCAAAATACTTCCATCCCTCACCCCCACCCCTACCATCCAGTCAGAACTGAAGAATTTTCTTGCATGAAGAGCGAAACGTCTTCCCCAAAGGAGAAGGGAGAAAACCCCCAAATCCAGTCGCCTCTTTAAAATAAAGCACTTTGAGACTCCCGTGATCCGGATGGCTGAGAACCTCCATGGACATCTTGCAAAGAGGCATCTTGCAGCGCGCGCCCTCGCCCGAAGGCTCCCGGCTCTTCCAAAGCGTGGAACCATCCGAGCAGCATCAGCCGCGCAAAGAACCGAGCCGCCGATTCCCGAGGAAGGCGAGAAGGCTGCAAGAGCAGACTAATCTGGATACGCTCCATCCGAGCCTCGGGGAAGCCTCCCCCACCCCCCCAGTCCCAGCCCTGATGGAGACTCGAGACCCCGTCCTTCCACTCCTCTCAGGAATCGCTGCTGACTCGGAGGGGACGCGTCCGCAGAGCGCCAGGGGTCGATCGCTTATACACGTGATAAACGCGTAAATAAATAGCATCTTTCCATCGCCCAACCCCAGCCCACTGCCTCCCACAGCCCAGTGTGCCTACTCACCAGAGAAAGCCTAGAAGAAAAGCGGGCTTTTTGCCCTCCGATCAGCTCCTGGATCTGGAAACCGCGCGCTAAGCACCTCCAGGGCCTGCCTCGCTGGTCTGCAGCCGGTCTCCCTGGTGCGCCTGAGCGAGGGATGCGTTGGCACCTCCGCACCTCCTCCTCTCTTCGCCGACTGGCTGGGCCACCCGCCCTCGGGAGGGGGGGAGACGAGGAAAGAGCCTTTGGGGAAGCTGAACCAAGGCTGAAAAAAAGCAGCAGCAGCAGTTCCCCCGCGCGTGTTCGCGGCTATTGGCCGCCCGGGGCAAAGACCTACCAAGCCGCGGAGAGTGGGATTAGGGGCGGGGAGGAAAGATCCAATTAGCAGCCCGTCCCTCCGCAACCTCTTCTCTCCACTTCGCACCGCCTTTTAATTAGCTGACCTGGAGGTCAGGTAATTGGAGGTCTGCAGCGATGCGACCCAAGCGATAGGTCGCAGGTCGGCTGGGAGGACTTGCGAGATTGTACACACACGATAAAACTAATTTCCCTTTCCGTGGTATAAAATGGGATTGCTTTAGAAGACGGGGAGGGGCGTGAGGGGACTCGGTTTTTTTTCGAAAACAACCCAACCACAACATTGATTTTAAATGAGGTTTACTTTTGGAGAAGTTCGGTTGAAAGAAGGCTTCTTTCTCAAAAGAGGAGCTGGAATACGATCCGGGTCTGGAACAAGCGTCGTCCTGCTTTCTCAAAGGAATGTGGACTTAAAGTAACATTTGATCTGTTCTATACTTAAAGGCAGAGTTTCCTTTGCAAAGCGAGACACGCTGAAGCTTATTGAAAATACACTTACTAGCTTTTTTTTTTATACACACACACATGCCTTACTTAATGGCTTTTTTTCCTTAGAGAAAGTTTTCACCTCTTCTGTTTGCACAACATGTCAAGTGAATAACAGACAACATTTATGGGGCTCAGTTATGCTTTCAAATACTTCGGACTTTATTAAATTGGAAACAAACTGAATTAAAGAATTGGTACGTTTTGAAAAAAAATGCATTATTCACTATTATAGTCCAGTCATAGGAGTTTTCTCACAAAGTCTTTGTTTTATCTGTTAAATATGATTGTTGAGTTAAAGAGCTCACACTGATCTTGTTCATTTTCTTTGAGCATTAATGTGTAAGACTATGAACATTTTGCACTGTAATCTATATCTTCCAAGTGACCCCAAAGAATTAATTTCCATGCTTTTCATCAGTCTAGCCAGTTGCAAAATCAGCTGAAATTCCCAAAGGAGATTTTTGTTCACTTTTTCCGTCTCTGGTAGGCCTAAATTCAGAATTGTGAGCCGCTTATGTATTGCGAAGAAATGTTAAACTTCTTTTGGAATAATTATCTGGCTGCCAAACCATGGAAACCTGGCAGTTAGAGTATGGACATTGGAAATTGTGACTCTTTTCATGTCGATTTTTTTTAGATATGGAAGAAATTTGATGATAGCTGCATTTGAACCATTCAAAATATAGAAGCAATCATTTTATGCATCCAAAAATTTTATAGACAAAATTCCAACTGTAATACTCACACTGATTTTTACTGTTAAGAATGTCTGTCATACATTTTGATAAGCACAAGTTATTTTGCATAGCACAAGTGCATTTTGATCTACAGATTATTCTCTCATCCTTAATTATCTTTGTTTATTTATATCCCATTTTTATTATATTTATAAACAACTCAAGATGGCAAACATACCAATACTCCTTCCTCCTCCTATTTTCCCTGCAACAACAACCCTGTGAGGTAGGTTGGGCAGTTCCAAGTTCCAAGATCACCCAGCTGGTTGTCAGGTCTTGTTAGTTGCAAAGTCGTGTCTGATCCATCGCGACCCCATGGACAACGTTCCTCCAGGCCTTCCTATCCTCTATCATCCTCTGGAATCCATTTAAGGTCACACCTACTGCTTCAGTGACTCCATCCAGCCACCTCATTCTCTGTCTTCTTCTTTTGCCCTCAATCATTTCCAGCATTAGACTCTTCTCCAGTATCTAATTAGGTGGCCAAAGTATTCGAGTTTCATTTTCAGGATCTGGCCTTCTAAACAGCAGTCAGGGTTGATCTCTAAGATTGACTGGTTTGATCACCTTGCAGTCCAAGGGACTCGCAGGACTACGACAGGAATAAAACTCACAGTCTCTCAGTTTTTCACCAGGTGCCTTAATCTCTAGACCAAACTGACTCTCATCCTCTTCTCATTCTGTGGGATAAACTATGGATATGCACTTGCAATGTCCAGTGCCAAGGAGAGGTGGAATAACATAAATAATGCCTCATTATCAACAGTCATGGTGTACATCATAAAAATCAGTCAGTTTTAATTTATCATTGGCATTAGAGAAAAATGGAAACAAATGTATTATCTGATGGCACATGTACAAGCTTCGATATCTGCATGGACTGAAAACATCTTCACATTCTCGCCTCCGTTCTTCCAATGGCAGAAGGATATCTATCATAGACAAAACACTGAACTTTGGTTTTTAAAGGAGGAAACACATTTGCTTGCTGCTCCAAGGATGACTAATTTGAACATTCTCTTGGGGGGGGGGGGGAATAATTATTTTCCCGTGGCCTCCAGACAGACTTGGCAACCTCACTCAGGCTAAGTCTATAATCTTCTCTGTTAATCACAAAGGCTCTTGAAATTGATAGCTGGTTCAGATTTCACAGAGAATGTTTTCTACTTTTTCTTTATGATATACTGTATATTTTTTTTATTCAGAAAACTCATGCATGTCTAGAGGGAGTCATTAGGATTGGAAATTCCTAGAAATAATTTAATAATAATTTAAAACTACATGTAATCCATTCTAACCTTGATTACAGGAAAAACGATTTCAGCAATAGAGTAGTAAATGTGTGGAGCATCCTACCTGATCCTGTATTTAGTTCCTCCTTTTACCTTAAGCTTGACCTTATGCATTTTTAAGGGGTCCCTAAGGGGGCGTGCATATGCGCACCAACGTGCCTACTGTCCCTGTCCTACTGTCCCATTTATATATACTCCTTTTATGTGTTCTTGGCTATGTTTGCTTATTTATATCCATTTATTTGTGCCATCTTTTCATGTGTTTTTCCTGCTTGTTTCCTTGTACTTGTTGACAAATAAATAAATAAAATAAATTAATACATACATACATGTCAACGTACTGCCATAATTAGTTATTGATATTGGAACAGACTGTAGTTGGACTGCTAAGAGAGCTTATGGAGTAGTAAGGATAAAGAACATTGTTTTCAAAGACACGCCTCTAGGTATTGTAGCATACCTACACCTGATGTACAAATATTTTCAAGAAGGAACAGTTCCCGCTCAATCTTTGCAACTGGCAAGAAGAGAACCCAGGTGCCCAGAAGTGAGGAGTGTTCAAAATTCAACATAAAAGTTGCTTCGTTCAAAGAAATATCTCCTTCACCTGGGCCAGAAAATGTATTTAAGTGCACTACTTGTTTTTTTATGATAAGGGATGAAAAAGTAAGGTGGGGCATATATGCAGATATGCACAGCTGCAGTGACTCAGGTGAAAAGGAGGAAACAATAGGGATACCTGTTCTGACCCCCTCTGTCCAGTAACGAATGCCGAGACAAGCGTAACTGGAATTTCACAGCACTTTAATAGCAGGAAACATAAATCTCAGTGGCTGAAAGACCAAGCATAACAAACAGATAAGAACCTTGGCAGCAAGTCAGACTTCGACAGAGACAGATAACAGCTTCTCCAGCATTTAGAATGAAGTTGAATCCTGCAAAACAGACTCCTCCCCAGCTCTCCTTAAATACAATCTTGAGAGGAGCCTAATTACAATCATCTGGGTCCAATAATCTTTTGTAACTGCGTTGCCTGGCATCCAGGACCACCTCCCTTGTCTCCTCATCACTACTCCAAGGCATGA